ATAACATGTGGCTTCACTTATTTGTGGAATCTAAACAAGACAAAACAAAAACAGACTCTAAAACAGAGAAGGGAGGGGGTGTGGAAAAGGTGAAGGGGAACATAGTCAATAATATTGTGATAACTTTGCACAGTGACAGATGGTTACTAGACTTAGTGTGGTGATCACGTGGCAAGGTATATAAATGTTGAATCACTACATCGTACACCTGAAACTAATGTAATAGGGTATAGCAACTATACTTAAATTTTTAAAAAATTAAAAAAAAATTTCCCCTTCAGGGGAAAGCAAAGAGCTGGGGAAGACAGAAGGAAAACTCAGAGAAGCCAAACACTCAAGTGAAGAGGGCCTTTCCAGTACTACTGTATTACAACAGCCACAGCAGTGGAGAGCTGGCTGCTCCGGGCGCAGGCCAAGGTCAGCTAGGGAGAAGACAGCAGGAAAGAGAGGGGCACAAACTCCATGGCAAGGAAAGGTGCCTTCCAGAGAACTACAGCAAGGTTCTTGGTAACTGTCACTTTAAGTGAAACAAAGTATCACGAAACCAATTTTCCCCTAGGCTAATTGATATAAACAAGAGTTAAGTTCCTATGGCACGTTTCTGGTCACAAAAACAGCGCCAAACTTCTAAATAAGGACCCAAAACGTTTCTAATATTAAACATCGAAATAATTGTGAGTTATACATACATTTAAGAAAGATGAATAAAAACAAGAACATTATTTTCTAAGCCACTTATCCCAGGTCAGGGTCGAAGGTGGCAGCATCCTTTCCCTTTAGCTCAGGGCCCAAAGCGGGTCTCCACCTTGGACAGGACACTATTCCATCACAGAGTGCTCTCACTCACGCTCTCTCTCTCTCTCTCCCTGTCCCGCCCACCCCCCACACTCTCCTACTAGGACAATGTAGACACGCCAGTTCACCACACATGCACATCTTTGGGATGCGGGAGGCAAGTGGAGTTCCTGAAGAAAACCCACGCAGACATGGGGTGAATGTGCAAACTCCAGGCATTTTTTTTCTGATCGGTGTTATAAACAACGATGTTGAATGAAACGATGTCATCCGAGGACCTGCTGTATCTGGAAGAACTGTTCTGCTGCACACCTTTCTTCTCCCACCCCTTTCTGTCCTGCAGTGAATCTCTGGAGTAATAATACAGCTTTTGCAGCCAAGTAACAGATACACTGCCGACGGTGAAGGAAGCAGCCGCTGGAATGGACACAACTCTGTGTGGACAATTAGTTTCAGAAGAGAAGGTGACTACCAACCAAACTTTTCAAATTAAAATGGTTGTCAAACTTCAGTGAGCCGTGGTGTCATTCAGGAAGCTTTCCAGAGATTCCGATTTGGCAGGTCTGGGGTGGAGCCCAGGAATGTGCGTTTTGAACAAGCACACCAGGAGTTCTGAGGCACGCGATCCAGGCACCACTCTGAGAAACATGTCTGTGTCTGAGGTGGTGGTGATGTTCTTTTGGTGGACTGGCCTGTGCCCCCTTTCCTCTAGCCTTAATCGGTTGCAGCAAACCATCTCCTGAGAATTTGGAATTGGGGCTCACGGAACCAGTAGTGTGTGTGTGCCTGGACCAGTTAGGTTAGAAGTTCTTTGGCTGGCCCTCTCCTACCCGCTACCCAGATCCTGCCCAGGCTCATCTGCCTGAATGTGTCCCAAGACACTGTCCTTAGCAGTCGTCCGGGATGGCCCCAGACACACCCCGGGGATGTCATTTGGGCCCATATTTCTATGGACTGTGCTCCTTAGGCTTGACCCTCCATGGGTCTTAGGATGCCTGTCCAAAGCCCACTGGACACCTCTGCCTTGATGTCCCACATGGACGTCACTTGACAGCCCAAACGGAACTCAGTATGTTTTCTCTCACACCTGGCACTTTATGTTTTTTGTTTCAAAGAATGAGCCCCTCTCTCCCTGGCACCCAAGTCAGAATACTTGGACACCATCCTAGACACGTCCTTGTTCTTTCCCCGCTCCACCCCCGCCAACCTCGATTCTAGAATAACAAGGAACAGCTACCATTTATTAAAACCATACTACTATGGAAATAACTCATCACAACTCTATGATGCAGGTACTGTAATTGCCCCCACCTGACAGATGAGAAAGTAGGCACACTGGGCCTACTTTGCCCAAGGTCACATGGTACGTGGTGGGGTTGGGGTGTGAGCCCAGGCAGTTGACCCTAAGCACCTGGCCCGACCTATGGGTATGGCCAGTTTCCTCTCACCTAGGTCTTCCCCTCCCTCCATAGCACTGGTTTGGGGGCCTAGTCAGGCCCCCTCAAATCTCACGTGGACCTTTGTATCCATGCGCCAAATGACTGGCCTCCTCACCCTCAGTCTTACCCCACCCCAATCTGTTTTTCCTAATGCAAGTAGAAAATACTTCTAAACTGGGAATCTGATGACACTCTTCCACTGAAACCCTTCAAAGTCTCCCTGTTTTACACTCCTGGCCTCACGGTGAATGAATAGTGAGAGCTGAATCCCGTAGGCTGACTCCAAGGCTGTGCTCTCAACTACTATTCCACACTCCTCTCTGAGCCTCAGTTTCCTCCTTGGCAAATGATGGTATGCATGGCACCTAACAGGAGAGTGACAGGCACGGAGCAAGCTTTAGACACATTGTCTTACTTAATCGTCATCACCTTCTGAGGCACAGATACTATTACATTTCACAGGAGGGGAAATAGATTGAGAAGTGGACCGACCAGCTCAAAGTCAATTCAAAGCCAGGTCTCTGAGGGCAGAGCCCCTCACTCCTCAAGAACTGCCCCTATCTCCACCATTTGGTGTGTTGATCTGGAATTCCAACTCTTTCAGATCTCGTTTGCTGAAGATCAACTGTGGGTTAAAGCTGTGATAGGACCTGAGGAAATCTGGAGACACTAATAGGAAAAACGGAGCAAACGATGGGGCCTGGCACTGACACAGAGTTAGGAGCCCACAGTCTTCCAGCGCGCGACGCCCTCCGCCTCCCAGGGCTCTGGGAGCGTGTCCATAAAAACGACAAGCCAGGGCCCATTGCTGTTTCTACAACAATGAGAATATTTATTTTCTCCAGGCAGTAAAAATAACATTTTCCTCTCTTTTGTAAAAGTTAAGTACCATTACATTCCATTTTCTTAAATAACAAAATCCTAAAAATATATATTAAATTGTATACAGTGCGTCACACTTCATTTTATATTTTAAAATACATGATGTTTCTATTTTATTCTCAAAGTTGCATATTAAGAGCATATTTACACATAAAGCCTTATCATCCAAAGTCAAGATCCCTTGGGAAGGTGAGTCTGGATGTGGGCAGGTCTGGATGCTGCATGAACCCTGTGGCGGCAGCCCCCCCACTATGTGCTCCTGAAGACACATCCTTTCTGAAGCAGTAGATTTGCCTCAAACTTTCCTCCACACCCCACTTTTGTCTTGTTGAGTGTGCTCAACTCCGCAAGACAAAGGCCTGTGAGGTGGGCCCCACCCTGGGGTCTGTGGGCAGAGGCTGAGGCCCAGTCACCCTTGAGCCCGCCAGCCTGAGGAGAGGCAGCTGCGGCTGGAAGGTTTGAGAAACACCCCATGCCAGGGCAGCTAAGCTGAGAGACCTGGCCAGGAGGTAGAAGAGTGAGGAAGGTAAACAAAGACACCAGAGGAAATAATCAAAAGGTTAAAAATTCCCAAGGTAGTAACAAAACCAGACATCAAACACCGCATAGGAGATTCGAAACCCAAGAGGGTACCAGCTGACTGGGCTATGGAGGGGGAGCTGGCCTAGCTCTGTGGAAGACCTGGAACGGCCTCCTTGGGCAGGGGAGACAGGATCTCGGAGGCCATCCACTAAGTGCTTGTGAGGACTAAGTACCCAGGACACACAGAGGCTTGGCGATGGTCTGTGTGCCCCACTGGTGTCGGGATGGCCTGGCCAGATCCTCAGCTGGGTCAGGCCGACTCTTGCCTTGGGCTGACAACGTGGAGTGTGGGTGGGGCTATGCCCCACAGGTTTGGCCTGAGGGCCAGGACAGCTGTACTCACTAGTGCTTTGATCTTTGTGGGTTTCTGGCTGACTGGAGTCTTGAGCCAGAGCCCATACTTCGGAAGTTATAGCAATCAGGTTACCTTGCGTACACTCAGACAGAGGCCCCAGCTCTGTTCTGACACAGGGATGCGGGGGAGGGTACATGGGGTTCATTCTTACTCCTCTGCTCTGTAAGCAATGGCATGTGGGGGAGAAGAGGGGACACTGAGTGCCTTCTACAGGGGCCAAGGACACCGTGAAACATGGCTAATAGAAGGTGCATTCGCCAAGGGAAGTAATACGGTCCTCCTGTTGAGACGCACACGGAGAAGGTGGGACCTGGGTGCCAGCGGGGAACGGGGTGAGATGGGCACACAGATCCTGAGGCACCCGCCTGCAGCCTCCTCCGCTCTGCCACCCCAGGGCAGGGGCTCTGGACAGGATGCTTTCAGAGCAGCAGTTCATGGTCGTCCCTAGAGCCCCTCCCCCTTCCCCTTTCACAGTCTCCTACTATGTGATCTGTAATGTACTTTTTTCGGGGTCACCTTTTCCAATCACCTCCAACTTCTACTTTCTCTCTTCTAAAGTAGTTTCTTAAAAGATCAAGTGCTTCCTCTTTTGATGCTCCTGGAAGCACACTTTACCTCTTCTGGGACAATTTATTTCTCGAGTTTTTAATTAGACACAGGGGACCCCCTGTGGGGTACTGCTGACAGGTTCCAACCAAGGCCATGGGCAGACTGTGGCCAAGGAGTTTATGGAGGTGTGGCCTAGGACAATCTATGGCCATCTTCCC